AATGTAAAGGGGCGGCCGAAGGCTTAATAGTCCCATTTTAGTTGGGTTGGTGGCCTCTTTAGGCTTGTAAATAAAGGTTGTGTCATGTAGACACGTGCGAGAGCTTTTCGGTCTGTAATGGACCATTTTACCCTTTGTTGTGCCACTGTTCAGAGCTTGTAAAGTCTGTTTGTAATTTGCATTGTCTATGAAGCGTTTTTCGGACATGTTTGCTTGTGGATCCCGTTTGAGGCGTTCTCTCTAACCCGTTCTCTCTTTTGACGGTCCTAAGGGACAATGGGAGGCTTCGGGGAGGCTGACCTTTGCGGACGGACACGCAAGGGTGCCGCACGTCTTAGGCGAAACCAGCTAAGGTCGTGACAAAATGGCAGGTCGGTTAAAACACAGCTTAACAAAGACTAATTTACATATTATTTATTATTTAATTTATTTATTTTTCAAAATATACTTAAATATCCTCTAATATTTTTTAAATAATTATAAAATTACATATAATTAATTATATATATATATATTAATTACATATAATATCTCTCTTGCATTATCATCTTGTACTAAATGCTATAATTAAAAATCATATCAATGCATGTCATTAGGAGATTCATCAAGAAACATTTTAATGGTCAAGATGTTGTGTGTGTGTGCGTGTTGATTTGTACATCTCATGATGCGAAATTACCGGTCGATGGTGTCCGTGCGTTGAGCATTAAAAGAAGAAGATGATGATACAACACTGTTTTGAGAATATTCCAACGATGATAACCATCTAAGATCTCCGAGCTGAAAGATACAAGGGGAAGGGAAAGGGTTTCAGATATAGAGATGGGCCTTCAAGATGACGAGGAAGAGCAAGAGGAGCAAGCCGAAGAGAAGAGCATGAGCCAAGATGGCGACGACGCTGGTCTTCATGTTGAGGAAGTCCACCGGGCGATGCTTCCCCGGCAGCTGCAGGATGACGCCCGGACACAGGAACGCAAACAGAGCCGTGGCGATGATGGAGGGAGCCCAGTCCTTCATGGCTCTCCCAGAAGAAGGATGAGTACAGAAGAAGGAAGGAAGGAAGGAAGGAAGAATGAGCCAACATAAAGCCACCGCCTCGGATGCCAATATGCTCAGCGCACCATCAGAGACGACGGGAAAGCTGGGGAACGCCGCAATCATTTCATGGAATCCACCTTTATACGTGTGCTGTATGTAGACTTGGATTGAATATGATCCATGCAACGCATACCAAATCGGTGTGTGCCGGGAAAACTGGCTTAGATTAAGGAAGGAGCACTCGATTCAATTAATCAACTTGGTTGAACATTAAGGAGTGGATGGATGGAGAATGATTCGTTAGAAAAGCTATCTATCTTCATCGATCGATATAATGCTCAACAGCTTTCGTTATGGCGAGTGGGGAATCGAATCGGATTCTTTGCTCATTTTCTTTGGCATCAACTCAAGAAAGAGCTTTGGTTTCACAGTATTAAGTCCGCATACTTACTTGTCATTGTTATTCTCTTTGGCATCTCAAGAAACCTTTCGTTTAACTGTTTTATGTAATTGTTTTTTGTATGACAACATGAAGAAGAAGAAGAGTATGTGTAATTTTTCTATTGCTTGCTTGAACTAAAACCCAATAATTCCTAGTTTTGTTTGTACCTCAATCTATCTCAAAGTTCATTTAAGGATCATGGCATTTCAAATCATCGGACGTATACTTCTTCGGTTTTCTAGTGAAAAGAAATCAGTAACATCCTCGAGAAGCTTTAATAGAATATGTAGTGAGCGCAAGAATGATCCATGTGAGTTACAGCTTTACAATAACCTTTAAATACCGTCAACGAGAGGGCATGTAAAGAAGTGCGTGCTCGTCAATCTATTAATTAGCATGTCGCAAGCTTTACCCTCTTGTCATAATAATTATATATATAATATATCCCTTCAAATTCGATAAGAAAAATAAAAAAAATAAAAGATATGTCTTTTCAAGCATTGAGCGTAAATATGTTATGTTAAATTTAAAGGGTTTGATATTATTATAAGTGATATTATATCATTCAAATCGATCATGTAATACTGAAGTATTAGCTGTACGACAATGAGATATCGTTATATGAAAAAATAATATTGATCATAAAAATATGAATCATATGATATCGTTATATGAAAAAATAATATTGATCATAAAAATATGAATCATATGATAAGAAAGTATTAATCATATGACAATGAGGTATCGACCATATTATTATTTTTATTTTTAAAATTTTTTAATAGTATTCTTTTAATATTATTTTTAAGTAAAAAAAATTCGTTAAAAAAAACTCGATTTTTTTTATTTGGGAATTCTCTCGTTAATTTAAATTCGTCCGTTAAACCCGATTTAAATGGTGCACAACACGACGACAGAGTCCCACAGAAGCGTGAGAGTGACGTGTGCAGTGGAGATTAGTGTCCGCCACAGGCAACCCACCGACACCGTGCAAATTCGTGACTTGTGTGGTGTCGTGGGGATCATCCAAAGCGTCACGTGAGGTCGGCCATCGGTGAGTGGAGAGAACAGCCGCGTCGGACCTCCTGCGCCACCACGTGTTCCCACAGCTCTCCACGTGTTGCGCTCCAGAACCATCCTCTGTCGTCGTTTATGCTCGTTTCTTTCGTATACACGCATCGCTACCCGACTCAGAATAAAATAACACATGTTGGGCCCACTTTCTTGCATAACTGGACATCACAACCGCCCCCCTCTCTGTCTCTATAAGATGCTTTCTTGCTGCGAGGGGAGAACAACATAAAAAGGGGTTCATGGCGGATTGGGGGCCGGTGGTGGTGGCGGTGATGCTGTTCGTGCTGCTGTCGCCGGGGCTGCTGATCCAGCTGCCGGCCAGGGGGAGGGTGGTGGAGTTCGGCAACATGCAGACGAGCGGCCTCTCCATCCTCGTCCACGCCATCCTCTACTTCGCTCTCGTCACCATCTTCCTCATCGCCATCGGCGTCCACATCTACGCCGGCTGACACGCCACCACCATCACCTCCGATGGATGGTCATAATTAGGTTTGTGCTAGCTGGATTTCTAAGAGGAGGATGCGTTGTTGTGTCGTGTCGGAGTACGGTCAACGAAAACATGTTCTTGGAGATTAGCTTGATGCCGAGCTTGATTTGCTGTTGTTCCTCTCATCTCGGGAGCAGTAGCTTCGGTGATTAACGAATGACCGGAAAGGCGTCATCTCCTTCGGTTGTCTCTCTGGTTTATAGTATGTGTTTGTGGAGTGCATCACTGCCATCTACCAAGTTCTGAATGATATATAGAGACCGGTACTTCGATTAATGGAAATGAATATTTTCCCATGAAGTGATAATAACGAAAATAAGAGATCAAATTATTTATCTTTGGCTGTCGGTAGACAATTTAAGATTAAAAAACAAGGGATATTATTCCTATTGCTATCGAACACTCGAGGGTTCGAGGGATTGTTCGTTTTGGATGTGTGCGATCGAATCCGGTTTTATCCTTTCGGAGTCACATAGCTCCAAAAGGTGCGATAAGGGAGGCACGTTATCTTATGAGTTCTTGGCTCCCCTACTGATGTGATTCTCCTTTGTTGGGAGCCAAAGAGGGTTTGGGTCACTCGGGTCTCACGGTAGGCGTCAATCTGAGAGGGGATCATTTGGTTTGTCTCGATGAGGGATTGTCTGTTTTGGGTGAGTGTGATCGAACCCGTATGATTTTGTCTTTTCGGAGTCAGAGAAATTAAAAAACAAGGAATACTATTCCTATTGTTATCGAACCCTTGGGGGTTCGAGGGATTGTTCGTTTTGGATGAGTACAATTGAATCCGGTTTTGTCCTTTCGGAGTCACAGAGCTCCAAAAGGTGCCTCTAAGGATAAGGGAGGCACGGTTATCTTATGAGTCCTTGGTTCCCCCACTTCTCAATCGATGCGAGATTAAGTTGGTCCCACTAGGAGACTCTCCTTCGTTGGGAGTCAAAGAGGGTTTGAGCCACTCGGGTCTCACGGTAGGCGTCAATCAGATAGGGGATCATTTGGTTTGTCTCAATGAGGGATCGTCTGCTTTGGGTGAGTGCGATCGAACCCGTACGATTTTGTCTTTTCGGAGTCACAGAAAGATTAAAAAACAAGGGATACTATTCGTACAGTTTTGTCTCAAAGAGGGTTTGGGTCACTCGGGTCCTCCCACGGTAGGCGTCAATCTGATAGGGGATCATTTGGTTTGTCTCGATGAGGGATTGTCTGCTTTGGGTGAGTGCGATCGAACCCGTACGATTTTATCTTTTCGGAGTCACAAAGAGATTAAAAAACAAGGGATACTATTCCTATTGCTATCGAACCCTTAGGGGTTCGAGGGATTGTTCGTTTTGGATGAGTACGATTGAATCCAGTTTTGTCCTTTTGGAGTCACGGAGCTCCAAAAGGTGCCTCTAAGGATAAGGGAGGCACGGTTATCTTATGAGTCATTGGCTCCCCCGCTTCTCAATCGATGCGGGACTAAGTTGGTCCCACTAGGTGACTCTCCTTCGTTGGGAGCCAAAGAGGGTTTGAGCCACTCGGGTCCCACGGTAGGCGTCAATCAGATAGGGGATCATTTTTGTCTTTTCGGAGTCACAGAGAGATTTAAAAACAAGGGATACTATTCGTACAGTTTTGTCCTTTCGGAGTCATAGAGCTCCAAAAGGTGCCTCTAATGATAAGGGAGGCACGGCTATCTTACGAGTCCTTGGCTCCCCCACTTCTCAATCGATGTGGGACTAAGTTGGTCTCATCAGGTGACCCTCTTATGCTAAGTGATAGGGGACCACTTCTCAATCGATGCGGGACTAAGTTGGTCCCACGAGGTGACTCTCCTTCGTTGGGAGCCAAAGAGGGTTTGAGCCACTCGGGTCCCACGGTAGGCGTCAATCAGATTTTTGTTTTTTTGGAGTCACAGGGAGATTAAAAAACAAGGGATACTATTCGTACAGTTTTGTCCTTTCGAAGTCATAGAGCTCCAAAAGGTACCTTTAATGATAAGGGAGGCACGGCTATCTTACGAGTCCTTGGCTCCCTCACTTCTCAATCGATGTGGGACTAAGTTGGTCTCATCAGGTGACCCTCTTATGCCAAGTGATAGGTGACGCACGACTGCCTTATGACCCTTTGGATTCCTCGCTCCTCAACCGATATGGGACTAAGTTGACCCTATCACCAAGCTGTGATGTGATGAAGACTGACGGCGGTCTCCGATGATGAGCCATTGAGGGTGTCCTCTGTGCTGTCGGTGGATATCGGGTGGTGGAAGAAGTCGCCGCCCCCACCACATGTTTCATGGTGAGCAGACCCTCTCCTTCACGGTGCGGAGGACGGGGAAGGGCATGGCGAGATAAAGAGGGGCTTTGCCTGCGCCGTAGAACAAGGACCAAATAGCATTTGAAACCAAATCATCATAGCTGACAGCAACTTAGGAGGAGAACCAAATAGCATTCGAGTACATACGACGCTTGGGACTACCTCCCTCCGAAGGAGGTCTTTATAGCAGGTCATTAATAACATATAGATCATCCGACAGTAATTGACATCATGTTTGCCAGTTATATAAGCAATCATCAGCACAAGAAATAGGAGCATTCCTCGCTAGCATACAACACATAATTAGAGGCACCCAGAAATGCCGGCCTTATCTTGCTGTCAAGCAAGCCATCCTGGCACGTAGCTACTCACACTCGGCCCAGGTGCTGCCGCAGCAATCGCCATCTGATCTGGATGATACCTGTGGAACACACAACCATTCTTGAAATCGATGATGATGTTATAAGAGTTTTTGAGTCAAAACTGTCTTATGCAGGTTTAACATGCATCAAATACCCCGACTTTTTAACCTTATCAATGTGACGACTGTTCTCTTTTCTTTTTCAATCTTCGTCATGAATATTTTCTTAGTTCATGTACTCTAATCTACCATTTCTTTACTCCAATAATAAATAGCAAGAGATGGAGAGACAATCTGCTCTGCCTTCGATGTCATCATACACAGTGATCGTGTGAGAGACAGAAGAAGAAGAAGAGCAGGAGTTACCCGATTTGAAGAGTAGGTTCGCATTCTATGGGTTGGAAGAACCCGTCACCCTGCGGCTGTGGTTGGTGGCGGCAGTAAGCCACAGCTTGAGCATTAGGATCCCACAGTTGTTGCTGATTGGCCTGGTTTCCTTCATCCATCTGCATGACACATGAAAACCATGACAATGTGATGACCGGTGTATGCATGCTATACTCTTTCTCGAGTCATTAGCGAGCCAACTGTTGTCTAGTATTAGATTGCATGAGCATCAGAATGCCTCTTACTCTTATCTTCAGAGCTTTATTAGCTTCACAGAGCATTTGTTCCTGTCACAACTCAAAAAACGATGTTACTCGAAAACATAGTAAGAACTAAATATGCTCACAAGCATTTCATTTTGCAATGATACCCTTCTTTGGAGATCAGCAAGTTGGTCAAGCATGCACTGCGTCTGTCAAAGGATCATACAAGTTCATGGTTAATAGCTGATGTGTTTAGCATTTGCTTAACAATCGCTTAACTAGCTGATGAACAATATATAAGTGAGGCCTATCAAGTGTCGCTACCGACAACTTCTATCAGGAGACTGAACATTACCCTTGTCGATCGTATTTGTCGCAACGATGCATCGAGTTGGCGCTCCAGTTGCTCGAGCTCCTTGATGCTGAGTGGCCCCAGATCCTCCCCCAGCAGATTTCTATAGTCGCAAAGAAGATTAAAAATGGACAATTACTCCTTTTGATGATCTTCCAAAATTCCAGTAAGAGAAAGGAAGACTAAGGTCGATGGATGGCAAAAGAAGTTCACCTTTGTGATCGTTGCAAGGCTTCAACACGTGCCTTGAGCTTCAAGTACTCCTGTTGGCTAGTCTGCGTTTGCCAAAACAAGATGTGAGCTCGCAGCATTGCCTGAATTTAACATCATCATTAAACTTAGAAAACACAAATAATTCATCGAGGAAGCACATCCTTTACATAGTAACTACTTGTATTTCTATACTGCTGCAACTGCAATGAGCCTTCTGGTTTGCACATCTGAAATCTGAAGGCACTAGACAGACTGTTGCAGCACTTTGCTGAATAATCTTATTCTGATTGTTGAGAAATCATGTAGGAAAAAAATGGTCAACCTATCCGAGAATTTCCAGTTATACAAGCAATTAAGGTTTACTATCAATCTCTAAAGTATCTCAACTGTTTTCTTCGTCCAGTTTCGTGTGATAGCATGTATTACATCTAAGAACCCTTAGAATGGTGGCGACTAGACTCCCAAGTCAAAGCATTTTCTGATGATACCATAAATAAAATGACTACCATGTTAGTTGATGATTTTTAGAATTTGATGCAAACTAGGGAATGAAATGCTTCTTGTCTGGAGATTCAATAAACAAACGGTGTAGCCTGAAGACAATAAAAGATGGAATAAACTGGAAGCGTTAGACATCAGATTATTTCATTCTCTAATTACCAGAAGATATGAAAGATGCAGAACTACAGCAGAAGCACAAGAGAGAAGAAAAGGGAGAAAATGTGACGTTGCAAGAATACGGATAAGATCAACAATAATCAGAAAAACAGGTCTCATGTGGTCGGAGAACATTCACATTTTGATGTGTTCATTTGCTAATTTCTCTTTAGCACTTACTGATTTATTAATTGTATGTGCTTTGTCATCCAACATTCACTAGCATGTTTCTCCACTAAACTTTGAAAGGGACAAGAATAAAAAAACATCCAAAAGAACAACTTTTCTTTAACTAGCAGGATGGAGAAAAGTTCAGCAACTACAGCAAGCTGTTGCTGTGAATGCAAAATCTAGCTCATATGGCTACTGAACATGACCAATTTTGATGATGCAATGAAAGACAAAGGTCTGCCTGTGAGGTCCATTCATTTTCTTTCCTTGCTTTAATGGCTCTAAGTTCATATATCATAAGAGAAACACCCACAGGAATGTCCATCTATCTAATACATATAACTTGCTCACAGTTTTACATAACAAACATGCATTCCAACCTAAGTAACTCTCTGCCATGTAATCAGTTTATATCTATAAAATAAGAAAAGCAAAATTTTGGTAAGAATTATGAAAATCCAAACAATTTTGAAGTATATACACCTCAAAAACTAATAGTTACATATATATAACACCTAAGCAGGGCGGCAGTCGTCGAACTTGAAACTATTTTTAAGAGGGGCCATAAAAGTATAATACTTATGTTAATGTACCTTCCCTAGCATGGAAATTAACTTGTATCATTGATAAACGAAAAAAAAAAGAAGCATAGTTAAGTTTTAATAGGACCTAAAAGAAAGTCAACAACAAAATCTAGCCTCGAATTTCTTTAGTTGAATAGTCATGTTACCCTTTAATCTCACATTTTCCCAACTTTTTATCTCTAAAGCTATGGTAGTTTGTTTCTTGTTTGAATAGTCATATTGAAAATGCTTATCTTATTTCTTTTTCTTAATTGTCTTTCTATATACACAAAAAGACTAATTTCTTTTCCTCTTTGAAGGGGAAAAATGGTCCCAAGTTTTGTTCCTGGCAATTCTGATGGTTCAATATCAAATCCTGAATATTTAACCAAAAGATGCTATATAATTAACATAATAATATACTAGTAAAACTTAAAAAAGAAAAGGAGAACAAGTTATAAACTACAGGCCATATAAAAATTATTTAAAGGAAGAATATAACTCTTTGAATGAAAAGGAAGCAAATGAAGAATTATTCATCATAATGAAAAGGAGGCATTTAACTCTTTGAATGCTGAAGCATTTGTGCATCACATATTCTTTCCTGACTAGATCGTATATATGACAAACTTCCAAGATTTGACCAATTGAATAACCACAAATTAAGTTAAAAATTTAAACTCTATCTGGAAATTGATATTGCTATGTTGTGTCCTTTGTTGATTCCTCAATAACCCAATACATTCTAATTTTAGTATCAACAAAGAAAAAGAAGAAGCAAAACTTGGAAGAGCAAAAGATCTAAACTGTGCCAATAAACTGAGTATATGCTAGACAACTGAAAATAACTAGAGATAATGAAAATGTGGAGGTGAGAAGCCATGAAATTTCATGACTCAGGTAAATTCTTCAATGTCCTGTATTCTTATATATGTTGTCTTATTTAATATTTTTTTCGTAACATTTTAAAGTATCAGATATCGTAATTAGGTAACATATAGGTAAAGGAATGTTTATATTTCAAGTTTATATTACAATTATTAAAAATATTTTGTCCAATAATGATCCTACCAATTTGATTTGTCCAATTCCTGAACCAATGTTGATCGTGAGTCTACCAACCTTGATAATAGCAAAGACTATATAGTAATAGTGGCCAATGGGAGAATTATCGATAGTGGTTCTAGTGATAGAAGTCTAAGTCCCTTCCTACTGACCATAACTTCATATTTCTTTCTATCTAATGATTTCATAACTTGATTAATTGACTGTGCTAAAAAGAACAGCTAAAGTGAACAATGAATTTAGTGCTACTTTAATTAAATGATCAAAGGCCCACTTATATGTTCCTATATAATTTTACAATAAAGATAAGAGTAGTTAACTGAAAGCTTCTTTGGAAACCATAACGTTATTTTTCTACATTATCCCTTACCTAATAGAAATTTGCTATTCCACCATCAACATTTCACTACAAATTTTACAAGTTCATTTGCTACTAATTTTCCTTCTTCTTTTTTGTTTTTTGTTACTTCTCTCCTGCATATCATGAGATTTTTTTTTAAAATAACCATGTCTTTAGCAAAATTCTTTACTACTTACTGCCAACCTAAAAATTAGCATTATTTTTTAACTTAAAATTGTATAATACCAGTATACCATTATAATATATTTCATGGAAGGCATGCAAACTAACAAAAATAGCATGTGTTATCCTCTAAATGATGATGCAGAAAGTACACATTTGGCTAATAGGTTGACAAATTGCACAAACTGTAACTAATTTTTGTTTGTTATTTCTATATAGTTTAAAATTGCAACCCTAATTTTACAATTGAAAGGTGCACCAAGAAGGTATTGATGATATTCTTTGAGGACTGGCAAAAACCTTCAGAGCTTAAAACAAATGGACACTATAGTACTATGTTGGAATGCAAATGAAAACTATAATACTATGTTGGTAGTCATGAACACCCACTTCCCCCATATATCTCAGTGGCCCTCAAATTTTTTTATGGATTGCAAATTTATTACTCTATGATCTCTTAATTTTTGGCGCTTTCATTTCACCAAATAAGCACAAAGTGATAAGACAAAGAATTACAAAAATTAGAACACTCGCAACTTGATGCAAATGATGGCATACAATCAATTTTTAAGTTAACCGGTATAAACATATCAACCATCTATCTAGCATTTGCAAATTCCCATTGGGATATCTTTGAAATTCTTTGCAACTTTCTTAAAATATAGTTCTATATGAGAAACTTGGATCTCATTACAATCTTCTTGTCATACTTAATTTCAACGATCCTATATAATATAGAAACAATACAAATTTACGAGTTTTAAAGGAATTCAATGACAATTAATAGTATTTGTATTCAGATCCAACCTTAGATGAAATGTTGGACTTTGAAAAAACTCTATAGACTTTAGTTGTTCATTTTTCCTTTTTTCCAGCTTCTTTGGCTAATCAACTACAATTAATACGATGTCATGATGGCAAATGGTTTCAAATGTCAAAGTTTCTTGAAGCTTTGCATAATCGATGGGCTACTATAGCCATGTTTTTGTTCGTTCATAGACCAAATCCAACAGAACAAATTTGAGAAAAATAACTTTTGTGTAAAGCAAAAGAAGAGAAGAAAGCTGATCCTTAGAATCCAAAAACTTTTTTACTTGGATCTCCCTTGATATTATATTTGTTTCCGGTGCCCCGTAGTTGCATTTCTGGTACCTCTCCAGTGTCTTTAGCATACTGTAAAATTAATAACAAAAGCAAGCCATTAGAATAGAAAACAGCCTATGAAAAAAAAAAAAAAATATATATATATATATATATATATATATATATATATATATATATATATATATGTAATCATGGTTGGTTGTGATCATTTGTTCAACTTAAAACAATCAAATACTAAAATATGCATTTTCTGTTATGGAAAAAAAAAATTCAGTAGCCACAATCAAAAAGGAAAAGAAAATAGAGTCAGCTACTAATGAAACTGTTGTACATTGTCAAAACTTAAAAGAATGATTTGCAAATGAAAAACATAAAGGTTCCCATAATATTTATTGTTTAAAAGAATGTAGCTACATGTTTAATTTTTAGTGAATACGAAGTTGCAAAATGAGTAAAATATTGCATTATTCTCTCATCATGTTTTACTCTCAGATTTTCAATGGTCATATATTTTCTCCCTTCATATTCTTATCATGATAAAAGGTGAAAATTTCTCGACTCTTCTCTCTTTCTGTAATTAATATCTCAAAGATTTGCAAGACATCGATATATGGATTCCTCAAACCAGCCAATGATTTGGTGTTCACACAACTCATCTGCAAGTGTGGGGATCTAAAAACTCTAAAATGGTTTTAAAAAAAAGTGAACTCATTTATAAAGATTGAATTAGCTTCTTAAAAAGAGTAGATAGTTGTGGTTAATGATTTTTTATCTTTATTTGTTTTGTTATTCTCTTCAGTATGCAGCGATTATAGCATTTACATATTGATCATATGTATTCTTCAAATGGAAATTAAAAGATATGAAAATATCGATTCAATCTATAGTATAATTGTCAGAAATATGTCTTCATCTAGGCCTACTATAGCATTACAATTTATTCCAATGATCCCGGCATGATCACAGAACATTTTAAGGCCATTAGAAACTATGAACATGATCTCAAACTAACTTTGAGATGGTGTATGAGCAGTCACTATTGAGGACAGGCAGCAACTTCAAATTAGTTCTTTGATTAAAAAAAAAGGGGGAGGAAACAGATTGGTAAATGCATAAGATTTGGTAAAGATGTGAAAAATCAATTCAATCAATAACATAATTGAGAATATATATCTTTCTCCCAGTTCTTCATCTAGGCCTATTATTGCACTACAATTTAATCTAGTGATCCTGGCATAGTCACAGAACACTTTGAGGCCATTAGAAACTATGAACAGGATCTCAACCTAACTTTTAGATGGTGTTTGAGTTAGTTACTATTGAGGATAAGCAGTAACTTCAAATTAGTTCTCTGATTATAAAAAAGGTGAGGAAACGGATTGCCAAGTGCATCATATTTGACAAACTACAAGAAGACAAGAAAAACAAGGCGGTATCCATTTGTATGATGAAAATTTACATGAAACTCAAGATTTTATTGGATAAAATTTTCATTCTCAAAGAAGTTTTTCTTTTTGTTCTTTTTGAGATACTACTATATTGGCTGAAATCCAAGATGATGAACAGGAGATAGAATGAAGCATCATTTGGAAGTCCTACAGTGAATTACTTCCCAAAAATCGAGAAAAGCTGTGTATAATTGTTGTTGCGTCAAAGATTTTAACTTTTGGGGAAAAAAATATTATAAGTTGATGTAGATAGTTTATTTTATTCATCAAAATTCTCAAAACTGGCTAACATATAATATGGCTTCCGAAATTTCGAATTACAAAACACAACCTTGAAATAAGAATACAGTAATAAATGCTGCGAAAAGTAGCAATCAAATCAGGAAAAGAAATTCTGCGGCGAAGCCATGCATACAATTCGAAAGCACAAGCTTTTACCAAAGGGTTACTGCTGCCTGGTTCCAAACGCTGAAATCTAGACAGCAAAGGACCAGAAAAAAGAGAGACGATTTCCAGAAGAGCTGTAAGGGCATAGAGATGTGAATGTGCGGATGGCTTGCAGCACGGATCTAAGAGAACAAAAAACCCTAGTTTCTTCAGAACAATTGTGTGATTAACTGTTGCTATGTATATATGAACGGCAAGGAGGAATCCGGAAAACCAAAGGACAAGAAGATGATTAGTTTGCCTCAAAAGCCATGACTTCTTCAGCAGAATGATAGATGAGGCGGTTTCTTTGTAGGAAGAGCTAAAACCCTAAATTCTTCACTACAGTGACGATGTGATGGAACCTTAACTCTGCAAGAAAGAATTATCAAGTCACATACTGAAATCGAGGTCTATTTTAGCATATACTTGCCATGTGCTGTGCTTCTTACACCGATCTGTACTTGAATAGTCTTGAATCAGAATCAAACAACACGGAAGGAAACCCTAAACATGTGGAAGGGTAATAATACGTAGAAAATCCAAAGAGAAAACCTGGACTTTCTTTTCGGCTAAACGTTTCTCTTAACTGCCAAAGGTAGACGAAGAAATTAGTCAAGCCGATCTTTTTGGGTGCCAAGAGAGATCACCAGAAAATAGATAGAAAAAACTGAAGATGTTAGGAAACCTTAAACCATAGCCAAAAGAACAACATCGACTATAACATCTTAAATTGCTCTTTCCCAGAAAGATCCACATGTAAATCTCCGTCGAGTAGAGCTGGTGAAAAGCACAAGGAACGGGGGGAAAAAAAAAAGTTTTCTTTTTTGTGTGTGATTTCTGGCCTAGCAGCTGAAGATTTAAGCTAAGGTTGAAGTAAAGAAAGAGATTTCTTATTATAGAGAAGCAGAGAAGGACGAAGCGAGTTCATTTCGCAGATCATTTGCTGGCTTCTTTTTCTGGTGCAAGCAAAAAAAGATCTCATTGTTAGAGGCCTGATCCATTTTCATAACATCAAAGTAGTCCAGTCCACAGGTCCCTAGCGAGAAAGAAACTTTTAGGAAAGTAGCAGAACCAAATCGGAAAACAAATCCTTTGGTGCACCATCTTGTGCTATTTCATCATCAGGTCCAATCAACCTTCCATTTCTTTCACGAAACCGGAAACCCATAAGAAAGATCCAAGCTTGGAAACCGGCCAAAGCGGAAACCCATCATACCAAGCAACAAAACAGGAGCGACCCAAGATCAAGCCAAGCAAACCTTTTCTAGGTCAGGTCACGTTTCCGCGCCAACGTACCTGGAGCTGCTGCAGAACTCGTAAAGCTTCCCGCGGTTGGAGAAGACTATGAGGGCGACCTCAGCATCGCAGAGCACCGAAAGCTCGTAGGCTTTCTTGAGCAGTCCGTTCCTCCGCTTCGCGAAGGTCACCTGCCGATTGATCTTGTTCTCGATCCGCTTCAGCTCCACTCTCCCCCTCCCCATCTCCGCCTTCCCACCCCTCCCCTCAAAGAACCAGATCAACAGCAACAACAACAACAACAACAACAACAACAACAAGAAAGGAGGAGAAAAAGGAGAGCTTTCGCGCTGAGGAAGAGAAGGGGAAACCAAACCCCATTTGCTATTTATAGGCGAGTGGAAGACGAAGGCGACCTCTAACAAAGCGTCACCCTTTCAACCCTCGGAAACTCCCATATTCCCATTTTCCGCACAGCAAATATCTTCCCGTCACGAAACGTACGGTCGCGATGAGATTTACCGATATTTTAACGGTGATTAAAGCATTTTCACGTTAACATTTATGCGGAAACCAGCAGAGGAGTCGGTCGCTACGAGCGGGACTACTGACATGGAGTGGTGGCGGTGGCAGTGGAATTGAAGTCGTTGGTCCCGGGACGGGGTACGTGTCGAACGAGGAGGCGGTAAGGGAAAGGGCCGGTCCGTCGGTCTTGGATCGGATCCGGCCTTCAAATCATGCAGACCCAACCTTGGACATATGAACGGAGGGGAATGCATCAGCTTCGGATTGGCTGATGAGAAGATGGTAGAGAGACAGAGAGAGAGGAGTTGGTGAGAGTAAAGCGTTGACGTAAACATGTAGCTAAACTTGCTATTTGATGAGATGTGTACAAAAGAGAGAGTTGTGTGTAGCTCATAAGAAAGATGGTTTACTTTCTTTATCTTGCTTGGTTAAATATTGTTAGACATCATATGATTGACATGGTAACAATTTCCGTCAAACCATTTTAACCTTACAGTTTAATCTGAATCGATGCTGATTTTAATGAGAATTTACTTGATGCTGAATAATAATCCACAGAGTCTTTTTCTTTATCTATTTCGATGCATTTTCTGTTTTCCATCAGAAAAGAAATGAAGAAAAAGTATAAATACATTCATTAATATGTGGATATATATATATAGAGAGAGAGAGAGATCTAGGAAATTCTAGAATTAGTATTATCTCCGAGGAGATATCATATCAAAAATAAAGAAACTTATGTTCCATTCCCTAATTCCGATATGTTCTTGTTTGAGCTACTCGAGTCGATCATCATCGGGAACTCGAGAACTCTTATATTAGCTTCTATTTACATAATTGATATCAAAAATAGAAAGAAAGAAAAAATATGTAGAGCGATAAGACCAGAAATAAGTGATATATATTTACATGATCGAATAGATTTGTTCGTGACTACGGAACAGACAAAAATGGAGTAACAATTTTGGTGTAAATTAAGATAAGGAAATATGTGTTGCATTGCATCTTTTTAATGATAGTTAATGAGTAAACCATTAATCTTGTTTTGCTATATTATTAAGGGACCTGTCATCGAAGAAATAACAATTTGCCAGAATACAAGAAGACTATATGTGTTGGCATATTTGTGTCATGCATGCGTTTACACAAACATAGTCAGTCGTAAGACCCCATCTTTAGCTTACTCGGTTTTGGGGGAAGCATAGTTTTTACATGTCGATTCTCAGAAGTGGAACTACGAGGAAGAACATGTTCCTCCGATGACAAAGAATGAAAGAAAACTGAGGTCGAGCAGGCAATATGGATTGGAGAAGATGAGCTCAATGAAGCTTTATTTGTGATGGGTTTGGATTTAGGAATCAATCAGTCCATAGTGCAAGCCAAGTCACAAGTAACTTCGCTTTTTTTACCTTCCTGAGAAGTATCCGCAGAGGAACAAAAGAGGGTTCCCACAGCCATTATTGTACTTGCACTGCTTTGGAACTTTACCTATTTGAAGGTCTCGTATTGTTCATGTGAAGAAGAAAGAAGAAGGTAGTGAGAGCTATGTGTAGGACATGCATCGCACACACATTTAGTTGCTTGTGGACTTGGCACTAATTCACAAGGAAAAGTCTCCAACTCAGAAAAGAAGTATTTTCTACTTCCATCTTTGAACATAGTTTTTTTGCTTTTCATTATGGTTTCTTCTTCTTCTTCTTCTTCTTCTTCTTCTTCTTCTTCTTCTTCTTCTTCTTTTTCTCAAACCAAAACTGTCTTATTATACAAAATATTAAAGTGAGATTTAGGTTATATAAGCTGATAAATGTGAAAGTTTGACACAAAATATCATGAATTTGTGTCGTTTGGTCTTTATAATTATTGGAAAAGATACACTTGGTACCAAATATGATGAAGGCAAACTGTTTTCTGAACAGGTTTCATAATCTTTGATAAAACTATAGCTTCTGATGATTTGTATGGAATTTAGAGATATTTCAATGGACATAATTGACACAAGAATATATCCATTTTGTTGTATGTTAAAATATAAGATATTTTTATGATTTATAGTTAAAATTTATGATAAAAATAATAAGACAATAATAGTGAAAGAGGAAAAATAGAGAGAAAGAGAAGAAGTTTGAAATACAATTTTGGATACTAAGGGTCTGTTTATTCTATAAATATCATCATGTATATATCTGAAAATTTTAGTACAAGAATGATGTTAGAAAAACACATGGAGTATTTCTAGGATTTCTCTTTAGATTGAGAATATATAGAATTGGATTTATATTTTAACTTAATTTTAGTTATGTTAGTCAGTAAATACTTTGATCGTTAACACTAAGATTCCGATTCTAAGATGAAATTTTATATTCGACACTTACTAATAATAATAATAATAATAATAATTTACTACTGTAGAGTAAAGAATTAGTTTTCCATGGTGAAAAAAAAAGGAAAAATAAAAATAAAAAGGTAAGGAGTGTTAACTGTGTTTTGATCATCAAAACATGAGTGACAGTCCTAACATGCACAACATGAACCAATCATTCATGCCCAAAAACACATACACCAATGATACGATCATACAATTACTCTCAACATTATTATTATTATTATTATTATTATTATTATTATTATTATTATTATTATTATTATGATTATTATTGTTGTTGTTAATTTAGAGAATAATTTTAATTTTCGATTATACTGATGCGACAGATTGGATCTTATATTTTGGGATTTGTAAATTAATTCGTCGCGTCATCGTCATCGTCGATTATAAAAGATGGAGGCAGCGATCGAACGGCTGGTGTGGTCACATCCGACGCGCAATTGCCGTCAACGTCAACTTTTGTCGTCGATGCCTGCGATAAACCATCGCTCGCATGTCACATCATGTCGCGAGGATGACATCGATGGCCAACAGCTTTTCATGATGCTGTCCATGACCATCGGTACGATTTATGTCATGACTCGGTAAGGACTTCAGTCACGATTTCACTACCGTAAGTCGACGTAGTAGGTTTCTTGTTGGTCGTGAAAGGTGCGGTGACATAAATCGGCGCTTTGGTGGTCTACGGATTTCGTGTCCTGCCAATATTTTTTGTGCCCGTGAAACATATCCTTCCTCGGCGAAACAGAAGAAAAAGAAGATGGCAAATTGCAAACGGATCGGTCCGCTCAATATCCATGCGATGATTAAGCGATAACGAATTTTGTTAAGAATTAAGGATCGATGTGGTTAATATATATTACGAAGTAATATATATAATATAATATAATAATACATCGGTATGCATGTAGTCTTCGAGTATACTAATTATCTATTCATGTTTTAATAATATATTTTTTTTTCTTTTAAAGATGATGATTCGTCTCACGAATTACTTGGATTAAGTACTTGACAGAACATTGGTTATAATTCAAATTCGCAATCCTCTCTCTCTCTCTCTCTCGTCTTTTGACAGTAGTTGTTTTTTCAACAGAGATTTAATGGTGAAAACACAGAGATCGAATGGAAGGGAAGCAAATGACACTCCCGAAAGCAAAATATGGTGTGAGGGAGACGCCACACGAGCTGGCTAATGTGGTGTCAATTCAACTTGCTTCAAAAGGCGAGACACCGGCCGAAGTCATCTCCCACATCCATTATTCTCCATGGCACTTCACCTTTAAGAATGTCACATCACTTCTTTGTCACACGCCATTGGAAGCTATAGCAGAATACTGATCCAACTCTCTCTCTCTCTCTCTCTCTCTCTCATCAATGACCGTCTATGTTTCGGTGAACCATAATAATGTGCAGTGGTCCATCCATCACACACTTAACGTACGAGACGGTCCTGGAAATTCTTATCATCACGGATCGCTTGACCTAATTGATCCTAATCGTTTGGGTCCCAAACAGGTGTGCATATGAGAAGACCATATCGATATCAAGCTCACGAAGATTTCTCTTTAGCCAACTCAGGGATAACAAGTCACCTTGTTCGAGGGCTTCCTTCATCAACAATATATGAAGATAGATATACCCAACATGGAGATCTCATCACCCCCCACCTCACTCTCTTTCCTTTCACCCTCTCCGTCCTTTTTCTATACTACAGCTATTGTTTTTTCTAAGAAAATTATTTCGGTATATCAAACTATGTATAAGAGATCTATCTATTAGATATGACCATATCAAGGAATCCTTGTTCGAGGGCTTCCTTCCTATGGGCCGAGGGCTTCCTCCATCAACAATATATGAAGATAGATATACCCAACATGGAGATCTCATCACCCCCACCTCGCTCTCTTTCCTTTCACCCTCTCCATCCTTTTTCTATACTACATCTATTGTGTCTATTGTTTTGTTTTTTCCAAGGAAATCATTTCGGTATATCAAGGTATAGTGCAGACCATGAGCAGTTCCTTCCTCGACCTTCTTCGGCCCATTTGGTCTTCGTCCTCTTCGACTGCCGCTGCGGTTGTTTCTCTTTTACCTTGCTCGAGATGGTGGAGCGAGTAGATTTCGTGCGATTTCATGCATGCCATTTTGTAGCTGATAGGCGGCAAATACGTGTAGTATAAAAAGGATCTACGAGATTCCCATCGGGAAGCGGAATATCTGGAGACTCCTTAAAAGAAGACATGAGGTGATGGCTGCCGACACTTGGAGGGATTAATTAGATTACGCGAAGATCTAAGAGACTGTTCCTCTAGAACAATGGAAAGATCCAGACGACCGTTCTTTGGCTGGGGTGTTGCCACGTCTCGACTTGCCTACTCTGGGCATGTGAGGACGACCGATGATATCGAAGCGGAGGAGGGAGCCTCGAGAGAACACCGGTCCGGATTTGTGGGTTGGGCACGAAATGACATAGTTAATTGAAAGTGAGATCACGTCCATCGGGGAACAGTGGCGATGGCATCGCCGGAGGACTGCAGCGTCACATCATTGGTTTTAATATAATTTGCTCTTCTGAGGAATGCATCTCGTAGACGTGGTCACTCGCCGGCCACTCGGTTCTCCGCAATCCTGTGAGTTCGAGATTATTGTAGTTATTATTCGAAGTTGAGAGAGAGAGAGAGAGAGAAGAGAGAAGAAAGAATAGAAGAGAACAAATTGTTGCTCTTGAAAATGTTTACGCAAGTCAAGAAATAATGTATATGCACATCAATCACCTTATTCTGTGGTATTTTAATTGAATTAGATGAGAATAGTGTACGTACGATAAGGGAAACTAAATAATCCATTTGCCTTGCACAATTTCCCCTTATTGATGGTGGTTGTCCATGGTGTGGACCATACGTTCTGATGATTGAGATGCTGCATCGAGTAATGGTTAATATATTTCTCGTGTATATTATACTTCTTTAATATATATTCTCTTAATTAAAAATATAAATAAAAATTTATTTTAGCGCTTGTGATTTTGATCATGTATTATTTATGTCTTTATGATTTACTAGTGTCTAAAATAACTCTTATATTTTTAAAAATATAACATATAAACTCATTCTGTCAAGTCTTTATTAACATATCTTATAGTTTGTTTATGTGACATACTTACTCATAATAAAATATTAATATAATGATATATATAATTTAAATTTAAGAAAGGATAAAAGGTCAATTTTAACTCACCTGGTTTTGGTCATAGATCACTTAAGCCCTTATGATTTATTCGTATCTAAAACAACTCCTATATTTTTAAAAACGTAACATATAAGTTCCTTCTGTAAGTCTGAGTTAATAGACATTATAGTCTGCTTACGTTGGATATTGACTCGTAATAAATTATTAATTTAATGACACATGTAATTTAAATTAAAAAATTAAAACCACTATCAATAACGAGAAGATATGTCATCGTGGAAGCAATCACCGATAACAGTATTGAGTCGTTATTGCCTAACAATGCATCGTACATATATAACTTCTTCTACTTTGATAACGAGCTCACGAGCCTATATGATTTTGGTCTTGGATCATTTATAATAAATTATTAATATACAAATGTAAGCTGGGAGCCAATGAGATGATCAACTTTCCTACTTAATAGGTCCATGTGGTTGGAATTCCAATCTTTTTGTTTGCACCTCAGTATCATCATCTTTTGGATCGTGTCTTGCAGTGAGGATGAGGCTTTTCAGTTGATCTTTCCGGTGAAAGCTAATAGAATAGGACTTGTACATCGTTCAAAGCCAAAAACACCTACAAAGGAAAGGATACATCTCCATAGGCTAAGAGGAGGTTAAAAGAAGATGTCTTGATGTAGATCGCCCAAATCACTTTCGTTCTAAACCACAGGAGAGGATGATGCCTTTGTCCTTGCAATGATTAACCTTCCATAGCTCCAACTCAAGCAGCATGGCATACTGTTGAAAGATGATGAGCATAATATCTAACATAAAATGTGCCTTTAGGTAATGGAGATATGATGCTGATGCTCCAAATCGTGTGGTTTTTAATATCCCAAAAGCTAACTTTTGAGAATATTCATGAGAATATTACAATCTCCCAATATTATAGTCTAAGAGGGGGTGGGTCATTCGAGGAGCAAACATATTCATGAATTGAAGTTATTTTATGACTCTATCTACATATCCTAAAAAGTGCATCAAACATTACAAGAATTAATGAAAAAATAGTTATTATAAGTAACTATCGAAAGATGTATTATATAAAATTTCAAAAATAGTGTCGACACATTCTACAAAAAAAAAATATATATATATATATAAAAGGTTTCTCAAGAATAATCCATCCATCATTTTCCCTCCTATATAAATAAATATTATAAAATTGATTGAGTCAAATTAAAGGGTTGAAAGATACCCTTTATTTATTTTCCCTTATTCAGAAAAATACAAGTGGTGTTTTTTGGTGGATCTTCCACGTGTCAATAATCAATCGGTTGATGTGGTCGATCAGATCAGGTAATGTGCATTACGACCCGGACGTAGACAGACAGCATACATACCACGGCCAAAGAAACATATCATGGCGAGAGGGAGCACGGTGGTTCCAATGCGGTACTTCTCCCCAAGCTAGCTCGAAAAGCTGAAAGCAACCACACCCTGTCACTCTCTCTCTTTCCTTTTCGTCTTTTTAATCCCTCTTCCCGCTTTCCTTCTCATAAAGATCTGCAGCGATCTTTAGACCAACAACAGGGCCAGGGTCCTCATTGGAGTTGCCGGAGTACATCGATCCTCTCTCTCCACCTGTAAATACACTGAATAGAATACATTATCCGGGTCACTGTGCCGCGCCTCCCGATGATTGCTAGCTCCGCCCTTGCATGTGTCTTCGGTGCCTACGTTTCATGTTCACCCACAGGCGACCCGTATCTTGTGTGACAAGTTGGGTAGGAGGAGATCTGCGTCGTCTCCACATCCACACTCTCTATCTTACCCTTCACGTTTAGATGTTGAATAATTGAATTCCTGTCAGAGATCGAGTGGTTGGAGAGCGCCGGATCGGTCGTCTGCGACTGCCATTGCATGCAGTTGTCTGTGACTTCTGACTGGTCTTCAGTTCATAAACTTTGGCCCGTTTCCTGCCTCCCCTCCCCTCCCCTCCCCTTTCTTTTATCACCTGACATCCTGCTCCTGTTGCATCTTTGAGGTCCTTGGCTCTCGAGATCTCTGTTAGATTTGCTGTTTCCCTTTCGGAAATCTCCTGCGAGTCTTCTCGGCTTCTCTTCTTCTGCCTCTTCCTCTTTCTGGCCATCGAATGAGATCGAACGACGAGTTGCTGAAATTGTGATAGCGCAATCCTAACATTTTCCTTTCCATTTTGCTTCTTGTTTCTTTGACCTTGAGCGCTTGTTCTTCGTGATTACTTCCCGTCTGGCCTCGGTTCAGTTCAATTAAAGGAAGGAACCAGAGGAGTTGGTCTCGGTGACGGGTTGGTGAGGGGAGTAGCTGAGATTGTGCGGTCGGACAGAAAAGAAGGGAAGGGTGTTCCAGCGAGGTCGCTTCCATGGAGTGGAATCCCAAGCTTCCTTCACGGGATTTCGCAGAGGTGGAGCAGAACGCAGAGCTCCACATGGCTTCCTTGGTCGCGTCCTGCGGTGGTCTAGGGAGCCGAAGTAGCGGAAGGGATTGCTCGGTCGATCTCAAGCTTGGTGGCTCGGGTGATTTCAGGTCACCGGCGAGCTTGGGAAGCCAACCTACGATGTCGATGGCGGTAGCATCCTCCGGCCCGTCGAAGAGAGCCCGAGCACCGGGCAATGCCGGCCAGATCGCGTCGTGCTCCGTCGACGGCTGCACATCCGATCTTAGCAACTCCAGGGAGTATCACAGACGCCACAAGGTCTGCGAGGCGCATTCCAAGACTCCCATCGTGATGGTGGGTGGTCAGGAGCAACGCTTCTGTCAGCAGTGCAGCAGGTATCGCCTGAAATGTCGTTGCACGCAGTTGATGTTAATTTGACTGCCCATTTTTCGCCTACATGCTGTTCTGAGTGAAGTCATCATCCTTCTTCTAGCTGCTCTGTTAGGTCTCGGGATGTCGTAAGCCATGGTCTCTCGATGAGGAGAGCTTGTTATTTCACTGCAATCGACTCATTTCTTGGTTTTGGTTTCCTTCGATCACTGCAGAGATCGAAACCCCTGATGGACTTGTACTGCTTTCTGAGTTATCGAGCTTCAGTTTCTGTGTCATGGCCTGTAGAGTATGCTGGTGACTCTAATATGTTGATCTTGTGCTTCTCTTTTGAACCCGTCCTCAAATTTTTAGGGCAATACAGTGAGTGCTTTGGCATTTGATGTAAGAACATATCTATGTCAGATCACAGTTCTTTTACACCAATTTCCTTGTTGCATTTTTTTTCCTTTTTTTTTTGGTTCACGAGAAGGACCTCTGTGTTTTCCTACACTGCATGATTTTGCATTTATCGACTTCACAACATATGACAATCTGCATCCTCTATTATCCGTTACAGTTCTTCCAAGTTCAGCAGTCTCCTTCTGAGTCTTCTCATATCCTGCCTTTGAAATTGCCAATTTCCTGTTTATAGCAAAATTCGAGTAGTATGTTATGCTGATCCTTTATAAGATTTCCGTGAGCGAATGAAGAACTTATATACAAGTAGAACATTTTTCATTGTTCATCGAGTTATTTTCCATTCTCCACATTCGGACACAAATCTAGTGTGCCAGTCCCCATGAAGATGTTAAGAACATGATGTTGCGAGAGTATGATTGACCTGTTCTGTCTCGTCCAATCTTTGATTTTGATGAGCAATTGCTGATATCCAGTAGCCTAGTCTAAACCTTCTTCGCCAATTGTTTATCTCCATTATCATCATTGTTCTTCTAAAGTTCATGTCGAATTCCCTGAACCTTCAAATACGTTTCCCTGAACATTTGTCGACAGTGGCGTCTTCAAATAGCTTCGAATTTTTTACTGACTTATGTCAGACTGTTGAGATTTCTAGGTATGTTACAGAATTCCATATATTCCAAATTAGAAAATAAGAATATGAATTTTCTTATCTGATTCCGATTGAGTTTTTTTCCTTGACGTAGTTAAATGGCCTGGAATCTAATCTTACATGTACTTGAAATGTTAATAGAGAAGCCTATTGAGCTGACCAGTAATGGTCGCCACTCATCGTCCGAAGATGTTTCTATTTGACAAATGGACTCGACCGTATGGACTACATATCATAGCAATTCTGGTAGAGTTGGACACAATTTTATTTGGTTGTTCTTCGCTGTAATGTCGAGGTTCAACTTAGTTCAGCTACCTGCGTTTGCTGAACAGGACAAGACAGTTCTCGTTCTCGAGTCACGAAAACTTAGCTTTGCAGGGCAAATCGATAGACTTTTGCTTTTCTATCTATCCTGTTATGAAGTAATTGCTCTATTAGTATGCCATTGCTCTATTAGCTCTTTCTTTGTCAAGAAAATTCTTCAGTATGTGACTGCTTGTCGTTGGCTTCCGCAGGTTTCACCTACTGGTCGAGTTTGATGAAGTAAAGCGAAGCTGTAGGAAGCGTTTAGATGGACACAATAGGCGCCGAAGAAAGTCCCAACCAGAATCCATTAATCCTGCGAGATTGTTTCCAAATCATCAAGGTCTGAATAGTGCTAGAAAATTCTCGGTTGCATATAAGTATGACTATTTTTTGTTCTTGTGTGCGATACATGGTGTGCCTTCAAAACACTGATATGGATTGAACTTTAGTACCATGGTGTCACTGATGAGTGCCAGAAATCCTACAATCATCGAACATTTCTGCTTGTAGGATCTAAAATTTGCACCAAAGATTTTATTTTTCTTTTGTTCAGATTCCCAACCTCAAGGAATCAAACACCAACCTATGCGTGGTTTTATTGCCTGTGATTGATGATGTTTCCATGGTTGGATTAAGTTTCATGCAATTCAGGAATCGAAGATCGTCTTGCTTTGGTCTCTGATAACATTAGATATAGATTAATTTGTGGATAAATACATACATACATACGTACATGCATACATTTATATTCACAAGTTAATTGTGCTCTTATTTGAGATGTTACATTGTGAGCAAAGAACTAACTTGCCACCGTGTATATATTTGGGTTTCCGATATAGAAGAATTTAGTGAGAATAGATTTTATCATTGTATGTCTAAACTCGCATCATTTCTGTGCCGGTATCTAATGCGTTGCCCTTCTCTGCTGCTAGAATTTATCCAGTTCCTGAATTTTACGCTTGTATTTGCAGGTCGCAAGTGCTTGGTGTATCCTCATGTACTTCCGGCTCCTATACAGGAGCTCAACTGGGCTGGAATCATCCAACCTGAAGACATGCTATATCGAAATCACTTGCCCCTTCATGTTGGCGATGAACAACCTTTCTCGGGCTCCTTCTGCAGCTACAGAAAAGGGAGGCAGCTTCCTTTCATACAAGACGACGCCACTGCCTTCGGCATAACAACCATGGCACAATCTACATGCCTGCAGCCACTCCTCAAGAACACACCACCGTCAGCAGAGAGCAGCAGCAAAATTCTGTGTGACAGAATACAGCAAGTCCATTCGGATTGTGCTCTCTCTCTTCTGTCATCATCGACACAAAATCCAGGTATCGCTCTGAGCCAAATGCTGCCAGCTGGTAGGATTCCTATGCATCAATCTCTGCTTTCAAGTCTTCCCTACGGCAATCTCGGTCTACATTCGAGTTCTCAAGCTTCAAGCTATGTTTCCCCGGCCAGTTTTTCTTGTTCAGGAGTCGAGAATGAGCAAGTGGGTATGGTTTTTGCTTGCGGTGCTGACACCGATCTTCACTGTCAGAGTGTGTTTCATGTACCGGAAGGGTCGTCCGAGGGAGTCTCTCAAACTTTTCCTTTTTGTTGGCAGTAATTGATCTATGTTGAATGCTAATCAAAATTCTTCCACTTGTAGCTCAGTTTGTGTCTTCCTTTTGCGGAGTCTTTAACTGTTTCCATCTGCTATGCTACATTCATGAGAAGAATCTTGTAGGAATCGAGTGGCGAACGATTCCTACAAGATCTAAGAGGTTTAATTCTAGATCTAGGAAGCTTGATCTCATATGCTTGTTGACTCGGCCCAGCTGAGAAGTTGAGCTCACCGAACGAAGCCCAAGGTCAGTGCCTAGTGGAATCACATACAGTGAAAGTGTTGCGTAAATACTAACTAGCACAGGAAGAACGATAAGTTACTATACTCAAGCAAGCAATTCTTGGTCACGAGAGAGAGAGAGAGAGAGAGAGAGAGAGAGAGAGAGTCTCTCTTACCTCCAAAAGAGAATGAAAAGATATCGCTACATTTAGGGAATCGCAAGTAGAATGTGAAAAATGTTGAATAAGACAAACAAACAGTCTGTGTGGTCACACAATTGCATGAAGGCAAAATGGCATTATATAGGTGTTTCATATATGACAAATAGTGATGAGCAAGCTGTATAAAAAAAAAGATCAGCATCCAATTTTTATCATCTTTCAATCTCCATGATTAATTTATCTAACATATGTGGAGCTTTTACCTATCAAGCCTTTTTATTTTCTTTCAATTAGCTTAATTATATATCTTTGATTTTTCTGTTCAAATTATATCTCATATATATATATATATATATATATATATATATATATATATATATATATATACACACACACACACAGAGTTCAATAGTGGTAAAAGATCTGAAACTTTATTGTGTTGTTGGTGTCAACATTATTGAATCCAGAAACAATGGTAGCTTGATATGACCTAAAAAATAATGGAGCCAAGTAGAAGACAAAACATTCCTCTCCTTTCTATATTCTACTGATCCAAAAAATTTCAGTATAGAATCATGATGTATATTGTCAGCCACCCAAATTAAGAAAAAGAAAGGAGATAAGATTCAGAAGCCAATCTTCCACTTGGCTCGACTCTTGAATGCTAAGGTGCACAGGCAGCAGCTCAATCCTTTTCCTGAGAAGGGTCCACAAGATACATGGGAAGTGATTTAGGTTACTGCTGCAACTGAGATAGGTGTTTTGAGACTGGTGGCCATTTACTAGCAGTAACTGGGGACGCACGCGCCATTACCTGCACCGCCAAACCGATGATGATGATATGTGCCGATGTGGTTGTAGTCTTCTGAATGTTTCTGGTGTCGCTCTTCGGTTCATTTCAGATCAATGGATTTGTGGTCTCAGAGAAGGATGAGTTCATTCTCCTGTCCCTAATAATATTGGCAGTTTATTGGCCACTTCTTGTGGAGGAGTTGGATTTTTTCTTTTTACAACCGTAAATGATTGAAGGTGTAAACTAGCTGACATCTTTACGATTTTAATTTCCTCCATTTTCGTCTTCTAAGGTTCGTAGTTGGAGAACGAACATCTACGTATCGTATATTTTTGTAACCCAATATATGTGACAGGCTTAAGCCGCATAACGATACTTATTAGTCGATATGAGTTAGGTTTTGGATGACCTCAAGTTCCTCGACAAATAGTTGTAGTTAGATTCGGGTTTTGATAAAATATCTATAAAAAAAAAAACACTTTTGAATGTTGATATATTTGAATAAATTTTTAGAATTATTAAGATTATAATTCAAGATTCCACGGGATTTGAAGTATTTAATTATCAACAATTAAAATCTTTACCGTAAGTTAGCTAATATCCTTAAATTTTGTCAAATGAGATGTTGAACTATCAACTTTTAATAAGTTGATACGGTATATCACCATCATCAGACTAATGTTTCACTAAAAAAAATCTTGATCGATAGAATTAAATTAGCACCCATTCATAAACATGTATATCTATTTTAATTTTTATTCCAAAACTTTGTATATCTTCTCATATTTACATCCATGCTGAACAAATATGATTACAGCTAGTTGAGTTAGACATGGAAATGGTTTTTGACCATATCAATCTTCCATTTTCATATCTAAGCCAAAACCTTAGATGAGCAAAAGGATGCGATGGTGGGATGCAAATTTTCCTCCTTTCTATCTATCAAACCAGTGCCTCCATCATGATGATATTGTGATTGCTAATATTGATTCTCCATCATCATAACCTAGGTTGGGCCTTTCATCATTGCAAACACATCCAAACTGTTCTATCAAGGCATGGATAAGTTTGAGAAACCCACACTCATTGAAAGAGCTAAAATATGTCACATAATAGCAGTGATGGAAGCCATGACTAAGTTGGTAGGTCTGCGCCAACTTGAACTTGTTGATTGATTGGCATATGTGTGACTTAAAACATGTATTATATTCCTCTCATTCTCCATCTCACATAATTGGTAACACTGTTCATGGACAGCCTTTGGCAACCACTATTCTGCATTGTTTGTTGGTAGGAGACTTTTTGTGTGATGATGGATACAATTGAGGTTGGAATCTTCCACCTTCTCAAGCTACATTTTTTATCCTCTTCTTCCCTGGAAGTCATTGAAGTTTACATGTTTCTTGGTTCATTTCACCCTAAAGATAGATGAAGCATGAGGGTGTTTTTCTACGTGTTATTGCCTCGCATCTCTTCGAGAAATCTTATGTCTATTATACATTATTAGTTATGGAATTACTATGGTCATCCAAGTAGAACTTATCATCGATTCCTTGCATCTCCGATTGATCTTTTAATTGGACTTGCATGAGAGAAGTAAAAGAGCTCTAAAGCTTTCTGCATGTGAAGAACACCCACAACTTTCTATCGACAAGCAAACAAAGAAAGGAAGAGAAGAAGAAGGACCGATAATACTGCAAAGGACGACGTCCTTTGCTTTCGATCTCAACAAAGGCCACAGTAACTATATGCATGTAAAATCTGTATGCCATCATCATCGTATTATTTAGCTCGACAGCACCTTTGCCAAATCTTCATACCGTCGTCCGGTGAATCATCGAGGCAAAAGGCATGGCGAGACTGTCTGTCACAAGAGCTGCAAGACGATGATGCCCTGCGGCACTGATCGACCACTTGGTTTGCCGATCCATGCCCTGCCGGCCAAAGAGAATAAATAGATCGAAAATGAAGCATTAATGAAAGTGAGATGATATGGTTTATATCATTTGCAAACGTATAAAGCGCAACACGCTTTTGTGCATGAGAACAAAGGTTTAAAAGGAATGGTGAAAGTTGAGGTGGCCTCCATTAATGAGCTGACAAAGGAAGCGGCAACGGATGGATAGAACTCCGAGATGCGTCAACGTCAACGCCTCAAACGAACCATGCAATCATGAGATATTTGATGCTGTGAAGCACCGCTATTTGTAATGCCCCGTCAATTTCATACGCATTAATTACAAAAGAGGATCAATTCTTTTTTTTAATATTATTTATTATGAAAAATATTGATTAATTTACTATTTATCATAATTCATAAAATATTTATGAGATTTGTTTTTTCGAAATTCGATCTTACTAAATATGCATAAAAATAACTAAGAAAATAGTGCTCCGATAATTGATAGAGAAGAAATTCTAAGAGACCGCTGACGTGGCGTTGATATGATCCATCATCGCAGTTGATTTGATCGCACACCCAAGCTCGCTTCGGTTGTCGCTCTCCTCCTCCTCCGCTTCATCATCTTGATCATCATCATCATGATCATCACCATCGTCTCGCTGTCGCTCCAATTTCCGGATCCCCATGGCGTCCCTCTTCCCCATCGCTGCATTGATTGCCGCCTCTTTATTGTGTGGGCCACACTCCACCCATGTGCCCACCCTAGCGATAATGATGACAACAGATGGATAGTCCTTTTGACATCGATGCTTGGATTTGTAGAGAAACATCAGTAATTAGTACCGGTAGGAAACCAAACAAACCGAGTCTCCCCTCCCACATTGTGTGCTCCAACCACCACTTCGCCACAGAAAGCTTATTCTTATTATTTATATTACAGCAAATAAAAAGGCCTCTTCTTCATATTTTTCTCTCTGCCCACCCAAAATAAATCCTTCCCTGCTTTCTTTGCTTCTTCTCGTCCTCCCTCCGTTGGCGTCTCCGTGTGTGTGTGTGTTCCGATGGATGGATCCACGGATGGAAGCCCGAGGAGGAGCAGCAGCGCCTCCTCGTCTCCGGAGTTCGAGTTCTGGGCGGTCGGAAAGCCCCCGCAGCAGCTCCTCACGGCCGACGAGCTCTTCGCTGACGGCGTCCTCCTCCCACTCCACCTCCTCTCCCTCCGCCAGCCTAACCGAGAGACGGATGCCCCGCCGGGAAGTCAACCGGAGCCTGAGCCGGCGCCGGATCCGTCCCCTCCTCGTCCGCCGCCCGCCGCGGACATCGCGGCTTCCATCTCCTGCTCCCCCGCGTCGGGGTCGAAGCGGTGGAAGGACATCTTTAGGGTCGGGGAGAAGAAGGCGGCGGAGGAGAAGGAGCGGCGGAAGGAGCGGAAGGCCGGCGCCGGCGCTGCGGAGCTGAACATCAACATCTGGCCATTCTCCCGGAGCCGGTCAGCCGGGAGCGCCACGGCGGGCGGTGGGCGGCCGAGGGCGTCGGTCTCCGGCCGCCGGGTCAGCAGCGCCCCCTGCTCGCGGAGCAACTCGCGGGGGGAGTCCTCCAAGCATCCGGCGGCGGGGGGGAGGCGGTGGGCGGCGAGTCCGGGGCGGCCGGGCGGGGTTCCCGTGGGGCGGGCCAGCCCGGTGTGGCAGATCCGGCGGCCGGAGCTGAGGGACAGGGATAAGGTCACCGGCGGTAAGAGAGCGAGCGGGCCGGGGCTCAGGGTTCTCAACATGAACGTGAACACGTGCATAGGGTACCGAGGGCAGAGGAGCTGCAGGGGTGACGATAAGGATGGGGTGACCGCGCGTGCTCGGACCGCTGGCGACGGTGGCGGTACCCTCTTCAGCCTGAAGGCGCTCTTTACCAAGAAAGTGTACTAATTTATGTAAATATACTCTCCGTGGTTGCATTCTCAACGAGAGTATCAAATTTTCGTTTCCTATGGCCGAGGGTTTGGATTTTGGGTGGTGCGATGCTTCCTTCCTTCCTTCCTAATCTCATTTTTGTGGTAATTATGTATGCCTAACTTGTAATTAATTCGGCAGTTTAGTAAATCGATGGTGAAGCGTTGCATTAATGATGACACACATCGAGATGGGAGATTCCTGATGATGGACGGACTCCCTTCCCTTGTGATGTCCGTCCTACTCTATACACCCTAACATACTTTACAGGTTGCAGCGGAAAATGGAAGTGATGTCCGTCCTAAGGTCTGCGAAACGATGCTGCTTTCGTAGAATTCAAGATGCAAATTGACTCCCAGCGCATCATCCATCCATCACATCGCACGCATATTTATGTCTCTTTTCTTACATGTCAATAAAGGTTTCGTTTATGAAAAGAAGGCGACTCGAGTTAGGTTGGGTTAACGCATGATGGAAGTGACAGCTCTCCGTTGGTGATCACCGACCTGATCACACGGTCAATGTGATGGTGCAGCTAAGAGCTGTAAGCCTGCCTTAGCTGACATAGGAGGAGTGAGCTTTGCCTCGTGTGCATAAAAGAGCAGAGTGTCCAATCAAACAGTGCCATCTCTTGCGGTCAGGCCATTGTAGGAGACCACGTGGCGGTGGTGTGCAAATGGGTGTCAGTTCTTCTGAGCTTCCTTAGAGGAGGGGTAAACATGGCCAAATGCTTTCCATGTTGAAACAAGCATTGAGTGGCTCATTATTGGAGCTGTGAAGCCATTATTGGTGTCCTCCACACACTGTATCTTTTTGGAGAGGATTTTGTACTCTGAAAGAAAGAAAGAAAGAAAAAAAACAGCATGAAAATGAGACAAAAGGTGTAGCCAAAGGTAGCCTTACTATGGGGCCAAAACAGCATGCTAAGTTTCATCTCACTGTGTCATAACACCATGTGCTTGCTTGAGCTTCTTCTTGATGGTTGTGTGTTTTTATGGATCCATCCCTAAGCTTATTTCAGAAATTGCAACAAGTAGCCAGGTTTTTTATTTAGAGATTAAAAAAATTGATGATAAGTGTTAGCGATTGAATTTTGATGGTGCGAGAACTTTTTTTTTTTAATCCTACGAAAAAGATCCTCGAGTTAGAACCGAATCTATGTTGCGAGTGACTTCTTATAAGATCTTTCTGATACCAAGTAAAAAATCCTAAGATGAATCGATAAACTTACAAGAGAGAGATGCACTGTATTAAATAGTAAAAATAATTTTAAAAAATAAAATAAGTATTGGAAGAATATTTTTTTAATTTTTATTCTCGCCAATAGGATAAACTTTAGTTGTGGACGAATATTTCTATTACCAATAAAAATATTATTTTTATATATTTTTTATGTATGGAATTAGTATGTTTGCCCTGCCCTTAGGAATCTTGATATAACATATGCATACATCTCCATATCTCAAGTCCTCCACTTACTAATTATCTCATTTAATATCCAATTAGAAAATCCAATTAACCACTATATATATATATATATATAATCTAAAATTTAGGGGTATTAGAGAAACATAAGTCGTGGTGTCGGCTAAGTCAGAGAATGGGGTCACAGGGCCTCGTGGTTCCATGCCTGTTGAGGTAATTATGAAGAGCTCCGATGTTTGCATCTCAGACTTGACTTGTTGTTGGGCGAGGCTGCCAAGTTCACAGCTTTTGTTCCCTGCACTCGCAAGAAAAGAGGAAGCGTCGACACCAACATCCTGACACAGCCTACAAATTCCTGCATTTTTATTCCTCGCGACTTGTGCTGATCCATCTCATCTCTCCTCTCGACTTCTCCTACGATTTGTTGGGCTTTTTAGTTCAAATTAAAAGCCTGTCGGTATGCCCCACACTGCAGAAACAACGAATGGAGATTGCAGGGGTATCAAACAACCCAAAATCATTCTTCTCGACACCTTATGGGTGCAAAATGTTAAATCGATAATGACATGCATACGCTACATGTAGGGTTAAATCATTTGGACACCTTATGGACGCAAAATGCTAGTTGCATAACATTTTTATTTTGCTATAGAATTGTTGGAGAAGGTCAATGATAAGAGACCATTTGGTCGGTGGATCATTGGTGTGGTCTCGACCAAGGCACAAGCCTTGGGTCCTCCTTCTAGCGTCAATCTAATAAGGGACTATTTGATCGATCGACTCGTAGGTTCATGAGGAATTATTTGCATTGGGCGATAGGTGTACCCGTACGATTTTATCCTTTCGGAGCTTGTGAGCTCCAAAAGCACATCCGAGGGTAAGAGAGACCTAACTGACTTATAAACCCTTGGTTCCTATACTTCTGTGACTAAATGACCTTATTAGTTGATAATTTAGAAAGTTCATTCAAACATTTTCTTATCTTTATTTTGTTTCGAAATAATAGCTAATTTTACTGTTAGACGTTCTGATATGTAATACTACATATGGTTTTTTTTACCCAATTCTTCGATTTCAGATTCATCTGAAATATCAGCTGATAACTTTGTGCCTGATTCGAGGTCTATAAATTCTGTAATCAATTAAGCTATAAGAGATCGATTCTCGTCTTAGTTAAGGTAGGACTCTTGATTTCATCGGCATTGAGTATGTGTGTGTGTGTGTGTGAGAGAGAGAGAGAGAGAGAGAGAGAGAGAGAGATGAATAGAGCTACCTAAGAGAGAGTACAATGTTTAGAGTTTGAGAAATTTGAAAAATCACAAGTGATTGATATGAAATAGAGGTTTTGATTTTGAATCTCTCTATTCTTTTCCTCTATCATCCTTTCCTATGATTCGTTGATGCCCACCATCCCTTTTTTTACCTACATTTATAATACATGGAAGGCTATATAGCAGTGTTTCTCTTAGCTGGAGAGAGAGAGAGAGTGTGTGTGTGTTTCAAGCAGTTGAACAAGCATAACCTCAATTCTGTTCGTTGACAAAGAGACATGTTGGAAGATCCTTGACAATGGTAGCCAATTAAAGGAGTGGATATCGAAGTGGATATCGATCACCTTCAGCCGAGAAAACCATGTTCCGTGCATGCTCCTGAATGCTCTCTCCATCATCGCCTTCTGCGTCTCATGATCAGCAAATATCAACAAAGCCATATATATGTATTGCAATGAACGAATACATCAAGAAAAGAACAAGTGGCACCCCAATTAAACCGCTTATTATCGTACGTACGTCTACCATACATGTCTACCTCCTTCTTCTTTACAGAGAGTTCAATGAGTTCTTTTTCTTTGTTCGTAAGCTTAAAAGTTGGAGTAGATTTGCATTTGGTTTAGTATGTCCTCGAAGTTGTCATTGGGTTTCTCTATCGGATGGCTATGCATTCCTTCGTAGGTCGTCACCACGATGCTTTCGTCCCTCGACAGTCGCTGGACTTGCTTCTTCACGTTGCAACCTTGATGCGTGCACCGGTAGTAGCTTCTGCAACCAGATCAAGAAAACATGCTGAGTCGAGTCGACAATCAACTGCGATACATAACATCGAGCATCATTTCAGCATGGAAACGAAAAGAAATGGAAACAAGTGTCGAAGCGGCAAAAGGGAGACGGATCCAAGTTGCTAACTTGATCGTCACTCACGCAACGATCAACAAGTTTTTTGATCTTTGGAGGAATTCAATTTCCTCCGACTTAGATTTTTTACTTCTCGCAGACACTAATGCAATTGTTTCCTTTAGTCAATAAAATCCTCTAATTTTCTTTTCGAAGAAAAAAAAATTAAGAGGGCGAATAGATCAGAAACATGCCCGCAGTCACAAAACTAAATGAGTAGAATGTTTCGGATACATCTGAATCCCTTTCTAGTTCTTTAGGTCGGAGCTGAATAGAAATGCTTAGGAGAATCAACGAATAGAATTAGAGGAATAATTCCTACAAATATAGCAAGAACAGCTAATTTCGCTCGCGTGATTCTTTATATATATATATATATATATATATATATATATATATATATATACACACACACATGAGGAAAGATAAGACATGGACGTGACGTATACGTGCACAACAAAAAAACTTGGGCAGGATTTTGTTCATAGTCAAGTTTGACCACCAAAACACTATTCCTTAGGAGAACGATGTCTGCCAAAGAATTGATCGGTGTGGAGTCCTTGTCGTCCTCTAGAAATGATACAGCCGCCTAGAAGAAGATAAGATGAAGAAAGGATCACTCATTTGGTTCTTTGAACTTTCCATCGAATGAGAAGAGTGCAACACTTGCCTTTCTCTTTTAGAAGGAAAAGCTTGCGTTCAAAGACAGCAATTGCTCCCTTAATTTTACAGCTCACCGTGCATCGATTGCATTAATCCTATCGTGATTCTTCCAAGAAATAGAGGAATTGCAGTGGTTTAGGATGCTTGCTTGCATCCCATTTTTTGACCTTAATATTAAGTTCCCTCTGAGAAGATTGGAGAGAGAGAGAGAGAGACTAACCTAGGGAACTTGTTGTTCTTCACTGCCTTCTGCCCATACTTCCTCCAACGATAGCCGTCGTCGAGTATATCCACTTGGCTCCTAGTTTGGAAGGCATACCGCGGCCTTCTCACCTTCTTCTCCTTCTTCTTGTCAGGCCTCGTCTCGTTCTCCATCGACGAAGCCAAGGATTTCATGTGGTGAGCTCCGTCTCCTTGCGGGCTCATACCCCTGCCCTCAAAATCCTTCAGCCCCAAGAGACCACTCGAGTTGCCACCGTGGAGACTGCCAAAGACGTGGGTGCTGCCGAGCATCTCGGAGGTTTGCGGAAACGAAGTAGAAGAGGAAGACGATTGCTGCACAGGAAATAGGATGGGATACTTCTCCATGCTCTCCTTCTCTCTTTCTACAGACAGAGAGAGAAAGAGCGAAGGTAATAAATACACGGAATACTGGAAAGGTAGATAGATGGCGGCTATGGTTTTGGATATGAAGGGCTGTTGGTCACGTCGCCATCTAAATGGAGGCGACGGTAGAGGAGGCGTGAACGGCACGTAATTTTAGTGGCCAAGAAAGCTGGGCGTCTACTGAAGGTGGCTGCTACAATCAAGCACACAGTCCTTCGTCATCGTACACGGAGACGACTATCAAACCTCTGTACCATTACGTCAAGTCAACATGAGTTGGAATATCAATCTCCCCTTCCCAGAGCTGCCGGAACCTTCAATTTACTACAATAATTATAACATATCACGCACTTTGAGGGCATGTTCATCCTGACGAGAAGCATACAGCACGTACCGATCCAACGATGCATGACGCTGACTCGTGAAACATCATGTCCGTTTAGCCTTCGGCGTTTTCTCGCAACGCAGAATCATGAAGGGGGAATCGTCCTTGCGGTGATCGCGAGGACCACGTTGAGACTCACCATACGTTGTTTCACGAGGAAGCGGTCGACGTTTGCATGAGATCGATGCCATCGAAGCGTATGCTACCATCGCAAGTGCCGTTGCAAGGCGGAGGAGAAGGAGAAGAGCGGTATCTCCGGCCTTGCGATTGCATGGATACACGCAACGAAGGAGCAACTCCTCACACAAATCTTCCATCCATCGCATAGAGTTAAATTCGTCGGAGTTTCTAAAACTCAAGAATTTGTTTGTTGTTTGATCTGTTAATCAATAGCTGATGAATTCTCATCATGCTATTGGATTATCTGAAAGAAGATTGGTGTGGTCACATAAAAGCCATACATATGAGTTGCATCTTAGACTATAAATTTCAATTAGTTGACCCTAAACATCACACCGAGATGTCATCTTTAATACAATTATTATCTTAGTTTTTCGTAACCGAGATTTATATATACATCGACTTGTATTGCTTTCAGAATAATTTAAGATGACATCTTTGTCTATATTTTTATTACTAATTGACTTTATTTAGGTTTTGGTTTTACTATTATTAATTAATCTTGAAATCTTGTCTCATTTCTTGTCAACTTTTAAAGTATTATTTAGCTAATTTGCCAACCACAAAAGATGATTTTTATTATAATAATACCATAATTATACAAAAAATATATATAAGAGACATTTAGGTGGACACTTGTGAAGTTTTCTTTTAATTTATTTTTATATTAAACCATATAAATCATGCATATACATCTCCAAGAACGAGGATAAATTTAAAAGAAAGATATTGTATCGTCATGTAAAAGGAAGTGTTGAAAATATTGACGTGCGAGAGGTCTAAGTTTAAATTTTTGGTATTGAATTGATGTTTGATATGATATATGTTAATAGAGTGATTCGAAGTTATCGATATTAAATATCTTCGAGAAACACTGTTAATTTAATTAAGACGGAAATGGATTGTAGCTCTAATGGATCATAACCCAATTCCCAATCTTATACGATAAGACTTATCAAATCAAGATATTATGTGCTCCTTCTTACGAAGGTTTCTAGAATGATGCCAAACTCAACCTTACTCCTCCGATAACGTAGAGCCTCCTTACACCAAACCGATGAGTTTGACCATGGACTATTCACAGTACCAATCCCATTCGGTGATGCTCAGCACAACGTCTTGTTTAACCATCTTGCATGTCCAACCATGTGCTTGACTTTTCATTTGGTTCTACGGAGAAGAAGAACACATACCATCCCGTGATGCTTTTCTTACCGCTGATGATGGCTTCTTCTCGATGGAGTACTTCTCTCAGGGTTGACGCTCTCTTCTAAACGAGGAAGATGAGTGCTTATTGCCATGCATGAATATTTTCAAACATCACAGAACACATAAAACGTTGGTCGGTTCTTTTTTCATGGCAGCAAGAAATTTGTATGGTCTTTCATGAAGCGAAGAAAACTCAGAACTTGTATGGCCGTACTGATGAGTTGGAAGTCGCAGCCATCCCATTGAATTGACAATTTGGCATGTGTCATATACTATTTAGATATTCAACTTATTTGAATATATCCCGAAAGAAAGAAAGAGTAAGACTAGATAGATTAAAACAATATTATTTCTAAAACAAGTTTTCGAGAAATCGTTCGAGTCTTCGTAAAAGTTATTATTCCAAGTGGTATTGATTGGTTTGAAGGGATTTTTTCTTGAGAGAAGAGTTTGAAGCCTCGATTCTATGACACCAAACATAAGAAGTTTAATCATACAATTGCTAAAGATCTTGATTAGATTCTTTTAGTAATCCTAGAAGCTTAATTTTGTTAGGAAAGAACCCAATATATTACGAGTCTTATGTGCATACTGATTTAAGCTTAATGGACGAGCAAAATTCAAGTATAATATGATGTTTTCGTGTTGCTCTTTTGAGTCTCTATCTTGTTTTCTTCGAAATAAAATCTTTTTAAGGGAAGAAGAAAAAAATGAAAAATGGATTTGGATCGAGCATCGTCATCGATTCCCATATGACATCGACAAGAACATTAGATTAGATAAAGATGATGATGAGAAGGCAAATTGGAGCTACAATTCTATACGAAGCTTAAGTACTTATGAGAGAACCCCAATTGTTGTAAGTATTAATTGAAACATAAGTCGTTGGAGTGGTAATAATATATGTGACGGTATATAGAATCATACGAATCTTCTGATCTTTGTTTAGACTTCAAATATATTATGGGTTAGGTGGTTTCATGTTGACCAAAATGAATGTCTCAGTTTTTTCATCTAGATGGATCCTAATTGACCGAATCCCTATAAATTTTAAATTGATCCATGCGAGGCTAGAGAAGACAAGTCAAAGTTTTAGATGAAGAGATTTGTCGAATAATCTAGTTCGATAACAAAATAAAATATTAAGTTTCAACTATTTAGGATCGATTATACACAACTTTTATTATTATTTGAATCTATAAAATATCATATGTTTAATTAAGTTTAGAGTACTTAAATTGATAGTTTTCATTTAGGTATTATTGTGGCTCTCCTCTTACTACTAATATTAATCATTTTACTTCTTTTAACTACTCTTAAGTATATACTTATACTATCACAATAATTCTCTATCGAAGTGATATCTAATTGTTAATGAATAAAAATATATACATATACTTTTATCTTTTCTAATAACTTCTCGCATTAATCTCGATAACATAAAATTTTTATATATATTATTTTTTAATTACTCAACGCTCAAAACAATAAACCATAGTCGATCTCACAACTATTTTATAAAATTTTTCTTTTAATCTCAAAAGTATTTGATGATCATATAAGACTATTGATGTCCCTTATCATTTTAATCACCCTATTTTATTCTGCAACTAATATCTTCGTCGATCTCTTCGTCTTATTAAATAATTGATCTAAGATACCTAAAAATTTTACTTTAAAAAACATCTTATCCATCCAACTTAAAACCTATTTCTAGTATTAAAATCGGGTATTGCTAGCATTCTCAAAGTAAATCTCCGGATTGCTAGCACATAAATTAGTCATTGAGATGACCCATCCGAATTCCAAGAATATTTTAAAGGCGCACGTGGTCGTAAAATTCCAACACTATGAGAATAGTCATCCAAGTTTGAATAAAAGCCTACAAGAATTCTTCACACCCACCAAATAGTATCAGGATGATGCAACTCTTTTGAGTTTGATAACATGACAATCCATCGTCTACGGTCTTCTTCAATGGGGTGTGTATGGTTAAGCAATCGGTTTCCTTGTTTAAGGTAAACACCAAATGATGCCGTGGCACTCATCCAAAAGCATAGATGAGAATAGACAGAGAGCTAAGTGAGGTAAGAGCTTTTGTCAGCATGGTGTTTTCTATTCTCCAAAAATAGAGAACCAAATGAGAAGTCAAGCACATGCGGATGGGCAATTAAAATTCTCTTGATTGCATCATCTGTTAGGTGTCTGTAATGTGAGTTATAATGCAATTTCTCACACTACATTGTTGACCATCTGTTCTGACTATTCTCTGTCACCCAGCTGAGGATATGAAAAATACATATATGTGTGTTGTTTGGACAGCACAGAAGGCCAAAGATTTTGATTGCAGCTTGCCAGGAGAGGAGATGGTTGTCTTTTCCTTTGAGGTTAAGAGAGAGAGAGAGGGAGAGAAGAGCAATAATATGTACCACAAACATGTTTCTCTGGTACTTGTACTCCAAGCAAATAGGGTCATAATACACACATACAATGATAATACAATGGAGAAGAGAAGATGAATAATCTACTAGTATCAGATTGGGTTTATGACTTTGCATTCCAACAGCAATGACTAGTTTAAATTGTCACCCTATATTTAATGTATTACTAATCCCTACATCCTTTAGATCAAAGTTGTAGAAAGAAACTGTTTCCTCCACAACATCTCACAGCTGCTGCTACCTCTCTTTCCATTCTTTGCAAAGATTAACACATATAAAACTTGATGGCTGCATGAAAACAGCAGTAGGAAGAGAATCTGACGACAGGAAGCAAAAAAAGCATGGGAGCCATTCATGTATGGAACTTTTAACTTAGGAGTAGTCTATTCAATCCAACACACAAACACAGTACAAATAAGGAGTAGATAATAGAAGTATAAATAACTTTCACATAGGCTGCTACTACTGTTTCGTTATTTTTAGTCACATCAGAAGACACCACCGCACACCCTTAAAAAAGTTTTGTATGATTTGATTTGACACAGACCCTCTGCTACCAGACAGACAGACACATCCTTCACTTCTTTTTGGATCCATGAACTCAAAGATTACTCCTCTCCTTCTATAGCTCTAGCACCAAATCTGTGGGTGCACGACGAAGGAATACAGGAATCAGTATCAGAATTAAGAGGAAAAGTAAGTTGAACAGATTTTGGTGAATTGTTTTCTTGCCAAAACTTCTGTTTAGTTCTCTCATCTCACAGAACAATATTGTGGGGTCGGACAACTCATCTACAGAGGCAAATTTTGTCCCGTGTGATGAGCTGTGCTATGTGCTTATCCAATAAAAGAAGCAGAACAACTCGATCGAGTAGACAACCCTAACCTTATGTGCCTATCATATTCTATCTACTTGATAGTGTTTCCACTGTAAATGCTTTTAAGTAGTGTTTGTCAAATAGCCATTATTATTATTGTTATTATTCTTTCTGACTAAATCGACCATAATGCATTCGAGTTCAACCTAAGCAAGATGAGTATTCCGATGAGGTACTTACAGTCTGCATCCGTCTTAATCCAATGCTCCCGACTGCCGTTGGAGTCATCACCACCGAAAGCATGGGCCGGAGGGTTGTAGCAGAAGTTGAGGTCTGGAATGTGTTCTTTCCTGCACGGGCCAACTTTCGCGGAGGCCGCCGTGCAGCCGTCGGTGCCGGCGGGTTCACTGCCTCCGACCGGATGCGCGTACTCTTTCTTCTCGTTCTTGCCGGTCTTGGAAGGTTTCTTACTCATGATGCTGCTCTCGGGGTGAACCTTTTTGTGAAAGAACTGAAGGATCTGAAGCGTGATAATAGCAGCTCGTATTTTAGAGTCTAAATTGTCAGGAGATCACCAAATAAACTTTGCTCTCGTCAGCAATTTGATCAGCTCAAATAAATAAATAAATAAATAAATATATATATATTTTCCTGTACTAAATTTGCACTTTTGAACTAATTTCTGTAATTACTAAATTATTTTCTTGCAAATTAATTTTGAGCAGCAGAATTTATTATCGTCCGATTCATATTTATAAATACGAACGGTGATCTCGAGATTCGTACCTTTTGGAACTTCGTCTCCACCGTTGAACCATTCGATGGACCACCACCGTCCGATCCCTTACCGCCACGGCGTTTAGTCATCTTCTTCTTCATCAGGCATATCTCAGCCGTCGATTTCCCGTCCTCATCGTGGCCTCCGGCGAACTTGACCTGCTCTGCAGTTCCGCTGCCGCCGCCGCCTTCCTCCTCCGTGATCCGGCTTATCATGAACAGCTCCCCCAGCGAGGCCCGCCTCTCCTTCCGCGCGTCCGCCGCCGTCGCCATCGTCTCCGCCACCTCGATTGGCGACCCGAACAAGAACCCCTGGAGCGGGCACGCCGCCGACCCGGCGTAGCTAGAACGGGCGGAGGATATCCGGCCACCGCCCTTCTCCGCCTCTGCCGTCAGCACCTTTTCCAGCTCCGCGCTCACCACCAGCAGGTCCGTCTCCGTAGTCGACTCCGCCTCTTTCTCCGCGATCGCCTCCAGCGCCGCCGGGGTTACGACTACCTCCTCCTCCTGCGCCGACACTGTCAACTGTTTCTCATCGTCCTCGCTTCCCGCCTCATTCTCCTCTTCTTCCTCCTCCTCCTCCTCCTTGTCCTCGATCGGCCCCGTTCCGGACCCTAAAGTTCCGATAGTGAGGAGTCCCCCGAGCAACTCCTCCATCGCCGCATTCCCGCCGCCACCGTTCCCGCCGTCGATAAGCTCCTCCACCTCCAGGCGGAGGCTCCTTGCCTTGAAGGGTTCGTATTGGCTGCGGCGGCGGCGGTGGAGGTCCTCGCCCAGAGACGGACGTCCGGAGAGGCAATTGCACGTGCCGCCTGCAACCCACGTACGACAGCGTAGGTTAGGCAATTCTCCTATAACCAGCTAATGTACGCATGTCGGGAACCCTGTCCCCGAATACGTTGTATCCGTGGGTACACAATAAGAAACTACATAGTGCGCAATGAGACGAATAACAAGGAGCTGGTAATGGTACCGTTGCCATAGTCCTTTAACACATCGCCGCTGTTCTGCCGAAACTTGCGGTGCATCCAACCCAGCAGCTGCAGCAGAGCATTCACCAGCGCAATTTAGTGACCAGACCACAGAAGGAACGTACAGGAACATCGAGTTGCAAGTCTCGAGTTCTATAAGCCAGCAATTGAACCAAATGTTGACGAAAGACGATCGAAACATAGCAGATCCAGAAATCGAACATGAGTTTGAGACTTCATTAACGGATCCTAAGAGAAGTGCATAGGGGAAGAAGTCGAAAGAGCCGCTCACCTTCATCTTAGCCGTTTGCTGTCCCAGAGAAAGAAAGGAGGGCGAGGGAGAATAAAAGGAGGGAAAGGAAGAGTGGGATTGGGATGTAAGGGAGTGGTGGGCACCTCAATGATCAGGGTAGATACTGTGGAGGACGATGAGTGAAGAAGGGAAACGTAGAGAAGGAAACAAGGAACAGGAATCTGATTCGTGTAGGGGTTTCATACGTCCAAAAGACCGACGTCACGCGGTCTAACTACGACGGTGCAGTCTCAGAGAGGGCACAAGCACTCGCGAGCGTGCATGAACAATGCCCGGCATGGGTGTGGGATGGCGAGGATAAACCAGATAGGGTATTATATTCTCCCATGCGCGTTGGATCTCCTTCTCCTGCTCGAGATGTCACGGTTCTTCAACTAGTTTGTGCGGAGGAAGGTTTGATTTAGCAGTGTCATGGCACAGCGATCGTGCAAATCTTAGCTTCTTCACATCACTGACAACCGATCACATTACGGCCGAGTTGTCGATGGAAGCAGATTTGGTACGTGACTTAATGCGATGATCTCTCTCTGCTTTCGGTGATACCAACATCACTTTCCGATGCTTATGATAACAATGGGGGGAGTGATCTCTCCCTACAAAGTCAACCCACCTCGACGATTGGAATCTGAAACGAGAACCTCCTCGAAAAGAAGAGTCCTAATTAACCGCTAAACCAACAAATGAAAGAGCACAATCGTTTTCCGGTGGGATCCAACTCCAGTTCACTTCACTATGCCGGGAGCACAACTTGTGCAAAGCAAATGCACGAGGACAGGAAGAAGCATACTTGACAGTAGGTGGCGAAGAGAGACGACAAGGAGTAGCATACGACTCACAGTCGATGGAGAGTAGAGTGCACGTCCTCCTCTCCCCTCGAAAGATCAGCCATTAGACGACAGCTTGCACTCGGAACAGCTATTCCATGGATGTTTGCCACCGGCAGGCGAACATGTCCACTCTTGCATGGGTTACGACATGTTAATCCAATGCATCGCCTATCAAGTACACATATGCATGGCGATGATCTTGCATATATGTATTATCTGATTTGAGAAAGTGTTTTAAGACACCTAAAAAAAGCCATGCCATACATCGACATTCCGAGCACATACTTCGGCCTCACGTACACGTAGCATCGATGGCAGGGCTTGTGGATGACAAAATGTTATGGTCCATGCATGACACCGCATGCAATCGACAAGCAGGACTAAGTAGAAGACTACGACTCCCATGATTGAGTAGTTGGCCATCACACTTCGCGTCGAATGGACGTGGCTTGACGTTTATGTCAATGTGTCGTACAGATCACCACACTTATTCCACTCATAATGTTGTTCTTATCGCTTGATGAGTTCCCTCCGACGACATAAATTAATTATTTTTAAATATTTTGTTTATAAAAAGATAAATGACGAAGAGACTAAATTAGGTGACATTTTCATGACACATAAATAGTATTTATTAAAATAAATATATAGACGTTGATTATTTAGCTAAAAGAAAATGTTCTGATGTGACGTAGCTTTTTAGGAGCATGGGTTTAGAGTACTCGTAGTTGTTGTGATTCCCTGCATGAAGACTACATAGGAGTAAAAGCTACTGGAAAAGTAGCTCCGACATGAACTGGTTAACGTGATCGTTTGAAAGCTAGATAGCACGAAGTAGGACCTGCAAGAGAAGGCAACATCACACTAGAAAACATAGCAGAAGGGTAGAAAAAAGGCATCGCAGGAACCCTCGCCCAAAACAATCGAACAACCAAAAAATAACCGAGAAGATAAGCCGCGGATGGGGGGGTTGGCGGTGACTTCGGATGGGCATGCAGCACCACCTTTGCCTGACACCATGGTCCAGCCTCCTACACCACCATCTCACCTAAACAGTGGCAGCAAAAATGACCTCCCTACATCGTCTCTCTCACTTTTGATCGTTTTACATACACTTCTTTGGAACCTATCTACATTTATGCTTGCCAACATGATCTTTGAAGACGACAGATATAGATGTGTCGTGAAGAGTTTGATCTTTTAGAACCAGAAAGACGACTGACCAAATATGTCTGCTCTGGTAAGGTGTGGAAGTAGGAAACAGTGTCAACTTTGTCGATCAAAACCGGATGACCATATCATAAAGGTCATCGTTTTGGTGTTCCATTTGAATCCTGGAATCGATCGTTCCCGAGAGTTGGATTGCAGTTAAGGATGATTTTTTTGCGGTATTGGCATCTCGATCGACTTTACCTGAGATTGCATCCTTGGATTTAAATCGTCATATAAGCGATATCGTTGACCTGGTTTGGGATCACAAGAGAGTAAGTGGAAGTCGATCGTGTGGCATGCAAGACTTTGGTTGGGAGAGCGTCGCTGATGGGAGTGTCCCCTCCTACCCTAAGTTAGAACGTACATGGCTTATGTCGAGAGCATACTTCCCAGATTGACCGGAAGTATCTCGGAGCCTTTTATGCTCGAAATATATACCACTTACACTCGTAGGAACTTATGTCGTTACGAGTAGTTGTCATTACTTGAACACGAAGAATCATCGTGTGGATATGATCCCCAACTTCAAATTATTAGCCGAATGGTGAGATGCATCAGCTCCCCTATGTATCTTCTCGGTTATTGTTGGTGAACTCATGCTTCGTGGTCGAGGAGTTAGCATGGCTTAGTCCACAAGTCCGATATCTCGAGTTTTCGACGCTCGGGAGCATGTCTCTCGGTCAATTGGAGGAAGTACCGAGACTGAGTTGGATCAGAGATCGGGATGGCCGCATTCCTACAAACAGACCCGGGTCGAAAGATTTTCGACTTGGGCCCTTTGTAGATTAAATCATTATTTTTTCTCTTTTTTCTTCCCCATGGCCAGATGCCGATCGGGGGCTTTTATACTATTGCCTGAGGATCGATCGTACGTGGATTTGGCGTGGTGACCGACCCCCTCCGAATGGTGAGTTCGTACCTTCGTACGTCCGTTATCCGGTATGCGCGGAACGACGCCGTGCGGTGTCGTCTCGAGTTTTCTGGGACTAGACTCATCGAGAGGACGCTTTCTCGTACAGGCTTTGGCTCGGAGTGGGAGAGAGACGGCCCTTGTGCTGGATTTGCGAGGGTGCGATGTGATCGAGATCCGAAATATGCCTTATAAGTTCTCATTATAACTGAACGAAAAGGACTAAGCAAAAGATTCTCATTATCATACTGAGTATCGTTCTTTCGAATAGTTTATTTTTTACAAAGGATTTCTCAGCAATGACTTCTACAAATTGGCTCTCAAAGTCCTCTGCGTAGATGCATAAATGAAGGAAGCCTAAGTTTGATTATAAGACCTACAAATCAGGTGATGGTCGTGGTGACGTTTTTTGATGCATGGACTACATAATCAACGAAGAGGAGGAAAACCAGCTCAGAATTATGACCTCGATGCTATATTTAAATGACGACGACCAGGAAACCTTATCATATACATTGCATGTCCATTCGAGTGATTGCAGAACCACCGAGGGAATCCTTGTGAATGCTGAGTTGGTGCAGTGGCCATATGCATGAATTGATTACCACCCAGTAGTAGATGCCTGACAAAGACAGTCGAAAGATGCACATTTATGGGCCTATAGACGATGTTATGCCATCTCAGTCGATACATGTATACTTCCCATCCAACGTCCCGTGACATCCCATGGGGCCTTTCGAGCCAGTCCTCATGCACGACGGCCACCAGATTTAACCAGCAGCAAATCATAGTACAGAGAGAGTGAGAGAGAGAGAGAGAGAGAGAGAGAGTA